ACTTCATGCTTACAGAAGGGATTAAGTAGTTTCAAAAAGTTTTGGAAGTTCAAATTTGAGAATTAAATGGTGAACTGCATAACTCCAGTAAGTTAACCTTTTCCCTCATTGCCTGGAGATCTTCTCAGTTTCACTTGTGAGTTCTCAGTTTAATATTTCAGTAAAAATTATTCAACTCCATCAAGTGCAGAAGCACCTAATGTCAATAAATTCCTTCAAAATCAGGTCCAGGCCGCATTCATGTGTCAATCTAAAGTATCATTTTTCCCACAAGACTATATTTTGCTAGTCAGCATAATGATATCCATTTTCCAGAGAAACTGTCTGAATTCATTATATCTGTAGATGCACTCACTACATTAATCTCACATGGAGCGAACAAGAGTGCGAGACCATTCAAATTGACAGTTTGTCAAAGAGACATTGGTCCAATACCAAAAGAATTTGGAACCAGTAAATAAAGAGCAAATGACATTGACTAGGTATAAATTCTCTCAGACTCTCCAGCAGAAAAAAGACCAGTGCTTTCAGACTAATTGTACACCAAAATTCCAAGCTACCAAAGGCAGAGGCGAATCCAGGATTTATGCTATACAGGTCCAATCTTTAAGATTCTTAGCATAGAACCTCCTATTATATGTTTAAAATTATGGGTTCATCACTACTAATTCTTGCAATTTAGTGAACTTTTACATTGTGCACCTCGTCAAAAGAGGTTCAGATGAACCCAGTACCACCACTCTACATCTGCCTTCGAGACCATACATTGAAAGAAACTCTTTATGCTTAGCCATCAATTTTATAAGACTAACTATAGATTCATTTTTTTTTTCTTTTTCTGAAAACCGAGAATTCCGTGAGTGCCACTGACGCACGGTTTGAAATTCAATGGATAATGGACTTGCACCTCTACTATTCTCCACCTAAATATCAGGCTTGTATCTGCGACGGGGTTCAAACTCATGAGAAGCGCCTATTCACACATTACAAGTTGCGCTGTTACCACTAGACTAAAGCTCGTGTCAAGACTAACTATAGATTATTTGAACAACGAAAAACAGAATGAACAACTTAGAGCAACATATAGAAGACTGGAATTCAAGCAATAGCTGCTTCGCTTTTAGCTTTACATTCATCAATCTTCAAGCTAAAGAATAAGAAAATCAAGTGCGACACAACAATCATCTCATGCCTAACCGTGCTACTACTGCTCCCTAAGTTTTTTAGCTAAGCTCATGCTACTAATTTGGTCACTTTATATTAAAAGTAAGCGCATTACCTACAGCATTTTTTAATTGTCACAAAAGTTCATGCTTTACAAAATATTCAACCTTCTTTATGCTCATATTAAACTAATATAAGCTGAGATTCAAACCATTTTTCTGACAAATATTTACTCATACAAAATACATGTCAAATTATGATTTGCAATAACTTTTAAGTTTATACATTTTCTTTCAAAAGTCTTCAAAAATTATTATCCCATTTCACACGGATAATTAAATAATAATCTTGGTACTCCGAATCGGCCAATATTTTTACGACAAAAAGGTCCATGCTTTACTAAAATACTCACGGATTTAACCATAAAAAAAAAAAAACTATAGCTATCCAATTGCATTTGCTCGAATTGTTCATGGAAAAAAAAATCCAAAACTTTTCCAAAAGGTGTCCAAAAATTTTTGAAGTATAAAAATTGTAAGTTGTACTAATACTTTTTGTATAAGTTCTAAATATTACAAAATTTTATTCTGAAAGAACTAAGACACGATGTAGCCATGATTAAATATTAATCCTGGTAATAAAACTGTGAAGTGGTAAAAGATTGAAATTACCTTAGGCTCTCCATCAACGTAAATTTTGGATCCATCTAGATAAGTGAGAATTGATCGGCCATTACGGGGGTTAAATCGGATCGGCACGCCCCGACCCGACTCAGGCTTGAATGCATAAACCGATTTGAACCCATATTTGTCGAGAATCTCTCTAACATCGAGCTGGTCCTGGTCCCACCCACCTAGGCATGACTTGAATACATCGATAGGGCCCTTGCCACGTCGGTATAGGTGGACCTCCACCTCTGGGACTTTGGTCCGTACGAACCTAGTCCTGTTTGTCGGGTTCGGGTTTGAATTTGATAATAGCGGAGATGCCTCGTCGGCGGAAGTTTCTACGATCTCCACCATTTTTATGGCGTATATGATGTGGCTTTGCTGGCGAAGGCAAAGAAAAAGGAAAAGCCAAGGGGAGGTCGTTCAAAACATGAAAGTTGAGTTTTTTTGTTTTTTTTTTTAAAGCTTTGGGGGTGTGATAACGTGGCAATTTATTTTTTCATACTTTTGTGGTATATTCTCTTTCGAATAAACTTATCATACACTAAATCATATAATGAAAGGTATTACTTTTTCGAACTCGCGGACATTTTTAAGATCGTGCTATTGTTAATGGTTGGAGATATCCGTGAGTAGCTCTTTTTTTTAGTTGGGTTGCTCACTCGGTGTTTGATATTCGTATTGGAGCCCGATTATATTAAGATTCGCATCGTATAAGATTTATTTAAAAAGAAAGTATTCTCTAATATAATTTTTTTATATTTAAGACTCGAACTTGAGACCTCTAGTCAAGATTAAATTTTTTTTATTCATATTGACGAGGGTAGCTCTTTTATATGGCCGGCAAATGGATGATATGATGTGGGAAGCAAAATAGAGTATGTAATTTCGTACCATGTAAATACTTCATCAGCTTGTATCATAAAGAAAAGACTTTTCTTTTTCTAATTCTTTTAGAAAAAGGACTCCTCCGGTTGTACTAAAGTTACATTTGTCTCTACACCAAAAAAAAAAGTTACATTTGTCTTTTGAAAGGTAAATATGTCAAAAGTAACTATGCTTTTGGTTAGAAAGTGTGACTACTCAATTAGTAAGATCCCTTTGAAGTAACATTTGGATTTTAAACTTAACTAAGGTGGGCGATGGCCAATATTAGCAATGAAGTTAATGTGGATTAAGATGTTGAGCTACTATTATTGTTTACAGTTTTCTGAAAGTTTATTTGATATGGAATTATATAAGCAAAATCCAAACAAGGAGGGAAATTAAAGAACATGAACACTGAACTGTGGACACAATGAGCAAAAGCATAGGATAAAGCTAAGTTGGCATGTCTTCAAATCAAGTCAAACACTTGGGGGGCAATGATGTAGGCATGTAACCAGGAAAAAGCATAGCCAAAGATGTCCCCATTCTTTGGACTTCTTACATGATCGCTATTCGCTACCATAACATGCACAATACTTACGCATGGTCCCGCTCCGAGTGGCGGAGCCATAATTTTCGTTAGGGGGTGTCAAAATATATAAAAGTAAACATACCAGAAAATTAAGTGGGAGTCAATACATAATATATATATACATATAATTTTTTTTTATCTACCTACACAGTATATTTTTTCGCATTTATGATTTATTATAGTCATACTCTTGTAGCTAGCCTTTCGCTTCCTTCTTGTACTAGATTTTGACTTGTATTCCTTTGAAAGCGAGAACCCACTATATATACCTTTAAAATAAAAAGAAGGCTGGAAAAAAGAAAGAGTTCCTTTCTTTTCTACTCATTACCAAGCAAACCACTCATTGTTATTATTATTGTGATATGCGGGCAATTTGCACATACCTCAATTAATTCTACGAGATGCATATTATTTCCTATCGGCATATATATCAGATTACCTAAAAAAAAAAAAAATTCCTCCACTAAAATTTGAATATAAGACCTTATTGTTTTTAAATCCACTTTATTAACCCATACACCGTACACTTAGGTGTCACCAACCAAACCACTTGTTTCAATTATAGAATCTTTAGTGCAATTAACAAATATACTTTGAGAAGTAAAAATAAGCTAGAAATAAGTTCTTCGATTAATATCAATAAAACAATAACAACTCATTAGACAGACAACAGCTATGTGAATAATCATTAATTGTTTCGTTTTTAAGTTAGAGAACCAATCGAAAAGTTCTAATTAGAGACTTTGTTTGTCATGACTTTGGAGTTTCTAACTCATTTAACGATGAGACAAGATAAAAAATAAATGCATATCTTAAATTTTCTCTTGAAAATTACGTAATTTCTTACGTATATCGTGATAGATAAATCCGAAAAAAAAAAAACAAATCGAGTTTGTTGTATTACGATGTTTCTTCTCCCTCTTGCTTAATCCTTTTCAGTTTGCAAAAGAGGAAAAATCTCTTCTTTCCTATTTTTCTTCAAAGTTCGCTTGCACTTAGTGGGCGTTTGGACATAAGAATCGTAAAATTTCGGGAAAAAAATAAAATTTATTTTCAAATGAAAATGGTATTTGAAAATTAGAGTTGTGTTTGACATGAATATAATTTCAGGTTGTTTTTGAATTTTTGTGAGTGTTGTGAGTGAAATTTTTAAAAATAGTTTTTGGGAGTTTTTTAAATTTTTGAAAATTTCAAATTCATTTTCAAATGAAAATTGAAGATTTCATGATCAAATGGTGATTTCGAAAAAAAATAATATTTTTGTTTAAAAAGTGATTTTTTTTGTATGGCCAAACGACCCCTAATAACGTAACACCAAAAGGAATGCAACGACAAAGAGAAAAACATAGAGCAATAGGAGAAGTGCAAAAGAATCGATTAACATAGCATTATTTTTATTCGTCAAATCAAGTGTTTGATGTCTGTCTTTCACATTGTAGAGACCTAAATTAAACAATATAAACTTTATCTCTAACCAAGAGATAGAGATAAAATCAATTACTATGATAAAGATGAAAACAGAAAAATAAATAATGTTAAAGATGTCATCTATTCTAATCTAGAATTAATGAAGAAATATAATTTAACTGTTTATGATAAGTAGTTTAATTTTAATAAAATAAGTACTAAAATCTTACAATTATTTTCGGATTTACTTCACTTAAGGCGTCAAAAAAAGGTTAGTCAACATTTTAATAGAATTTTCCCGCGAGGGAAACCCGGATCAAAACAAGGCGCTTCCTCTTCCTCTCTCTACAACTTCCCCAAAATCAATTTCTCTCTCTAAGAGGGAGAAAGCCATAGAAATGGAAGCAGCAATGGGATTGATGAGAAGAATTCCACCAAAGCATACAGAAACTGCTCTCTCTGCTCTGCTTAGTCTCTTACCTCATCACTCTTCAGATCTCCTTTCTCAAGTTGATCAGCCTCTTAAGGTATTTAAAAAATCCTCTTTTCAAATTAACTTATATAAAATGCATTATCGAATATGTTCATTTTTGTAATTATTGAAGTTCCTCGTGTTCAATATAGAGAAACCCTAATTTGTCTTAAAAGCAAATTATTTTTCATATATCTGATCTTAACTAATTTGCGAGGCGTAGCTGTTGTTGTTGTTTTTGTTGTTGTATATATGTGCAGATTGATTTATTTTAGTTTCTAGGTAATGATGTCTAATGATGGACACGGAGTTAGTTAATTCTAGTATTCTACATTCGTATTGAATGAATTAGTGTTGTGTAATGATTTATGGTGACAATGTCGTCAGAAGAAGAAACGATTTAAGTTCTCAGTTTGCTAGGGTTGTCTCCAAGTGAAACAGTTCGATGTAATTGCAACTGAGTTTCTTGGGAAGTACTGTGCATCAGATATTTAGGGTTTGGTTTTTCAGTGTCACTACTCACTTTTTATTGAAAAAAATGTGGAGTCATTTTATTCTTCCTCAGACTACTGAAAATATTGTTGCCAATTGCAAAGGTAAAAGTTAAAAGGTCTTTTTTTTTACTGTGAGTTTTGCCATAGCTATGTTTCTTTTGAGTGTGAGAGAGGGAGAGATAGAGAGACAGATGAAAAGAGAGAGATAGAGAGACAGATGAAGAGATAGAGAGAAAGATGAAATGAGAGATAGAGAGACAGATGAAGAGATAGATAGAGAGAGAGAGATGAAATGCGGGGAAAAAAAGAATTAGCAGCTTGTATATGCGTAACAAAGAAATATGATACTCGTTTTCTCCTTTCTATCATTCAATTAAATTTTGATAGCACATGTATCGAGATGAATTTCCAAATATTATATGGCCTGCTTATAAAATTGGGGCAAAAGATTAAAAGGTTTCTGCGACTAGGAAAAGGAGAGAGACTTCAGTTTTTGCAATGTAGATATGCATTGCCCAGTTTTAGGTGTCAGAGTTCCCATTAGAATGCCAGATTGTCCATTTTCTTATACTCAGATATTAGCATACGGACTATCCAAATTTGCTTCTATAATCAGGAAATGCAGAAAGATTTTTGTTCTTATCTCGGTGCACTACTTTTTCTACCACTTGTAATAAATTTTTCCCACATCAATAAATTATTAATTTAATAAAGAAGTCCTATTCTAGACTAAGTTGCTCCGACATGGCAGTTTAGGTGCCGCACCCGTGTCGACACGACATTAGTATGGATGTAGGTATGGAATCCGTACCGGATCTGGTCAAACAATTTTGGATACTTTGACCATGACGGACGGTAAATTCGAGACGAGATACAATTTGGTTCCCGAAATCAGAACCAAGGGTAAATTTGAAGAAAATAGCAGGCATTATCTAAGAAATCAATCCTTCACTTATCTACAACTTGAGAATAAAAAAGAAATCCACACTTTACAAGCTATACTTAAGTATTTAACAAAATCTCTCATAATTTAGAGACATTTTTTATATATTTATTTTTTTGAATTATTTTTAGCCGGATCCCCGCACCCGTACCCGTACTAGAATCCGTATCTCTGAATCTTAGAATTTACATCTCGAAGGATCCGACCTCTAGATTCGCACCCGTGTCGGACACCCGTACCCGTGTCCGAGCAACTTAGATTCTGGAATAGTCTATAGTGCCTGATGTAGACATCAGATACTGTGGGAAAATTCCACCTAATATTTGATATTATAAGATTAAGTAGATAGCTTAAATGAAGGAGTGCTATAGAGGTGCTACGCAATATTAAGATGCTTACAAAGTGAAAGCATGCGTTGTTGAAAGTTTTGTGAGTAATAATGCTATATACACCTAATAATAAAAGTAGTGTTATTTATGTATTCGCAAAATGAGTGTCGTATTCTTTTCATCTTAAAAAAATGAGTGTTGTATTCTTGCGCCTGTTAAGATGGATGTTAGGCTGAATAAGATTAGAAATGACCACATCTACTAGGATAAAATGATAAAATGTTGCTTAAGATGGTTTCTTCTTGCTGTACGTAGACCTCCAAATGCACGGTCCATATGTGTGATACCATGATGATTGAAGGCGGTCAAACGTGAAAGCTACTTTTCATTCTAAAATATAGAATTACTTCAAGGACAGAAAAACTTGTCATATGAAATTGTATGAACTATGAAAGCCCAGAAGCATTCCCCGTTTGTGTGTTACACAGTTACAGAAGTATGGAGTATGGTTCTAATGCATTCTTTACATGCTGCTCTATAATTAGGAAAATGGAATGTATGAGATATTCACTATGCTGATAAGTGGTTGCTTCATATCTTACCTTTAGATGTAGAGCTGTAACCTACTGTTTTATTTTCATTTTCAGATAATTCCTTTCTTTTTCTTGAAAATTATTTGATGAGACTTCTTATACGGTTATACCAAGACCTTTAGTTGCTTGGGATACATAACTGAACAATAGGGGATTAAGCATTTCTTTTTGCAGTACTAATGTTGATCAATTGGTACTATATATAAAGTATAAACAAAGGTTTTTGAGCTCGTCAAGTCTCAAAATTCATTCATCCTGATAAAGCTGATGATTTGAAATTGTCTTATCAGGTATTGTGCGATATGGAGTCTGGTAAAGAGTTCATACTCTGCGAGTATAACAGAGATGCTGACTCATATAGGTAATTGATTAATTGCATTTATCTAAATGGTTTTGGTGATATTGAATGGCATCAAAACTCATAGAGGATTCTGCCCATACTGTCATTTTGAAATAACTTATTTAAGATTTCTTTGCCTGCACAAATATAAATTTCCTCAGCTCATCATGTGCTAGAGATGATTGTAATATTTTCATGAATTTGAATTGCTTGGTACGAATTCCACTTTCTGTGTACACGTCCTAATTTTTGTTAAAGCGGCATCAAACCATTTAAATGTTGGTTTCCTTCATATTTATCTCTTGTTATTTGTTCCGCATAAGGTGCTATTTTCATATTTGACCATAACAATCTCATCTTAATATTTGAAACTTGTCTGTACCCGTAACTCCACTGAAATGGTATCTTCGACTCATCAGAAGCCTTATATCTGGTTACTTTTGCCAGACGTTTACACCATGGAGCATCTTACCATGGTACCTCAGATGATCCTCTATCACCAAGTAGTCAAAGCCTGTGGGACTCAATGCAACAAAATGCTTCTCCTAGTCTATATCACCTTCTTAACTGTTCAATTATGAAGCACTTAAACTCTTCTTAGAACATCTGGTAAATTGGGACTTGTTATAATTGTCTCCGGTTAGGATTTTGTGGTGTAGTTTTTTGCTGCCTTTTAGAAATAATATTGTTTGATTTGTTAAGATGAGAATCATCTAAAGAATGAGCCTGATGACATGCATGTGGACCAAGAATCTTGGCCTAATTGGTCTTAGTTTATCTGCTTATATCACTCATTCTCTTTGTCTGATTTTCTGGGGTGCTGGACTCTCCATATGTTGGATCGTAATAATACCCTCCTAATACGAGAGCTCTTGATTGTTTTAGAGTTAGCTAACCATATAATGACATGAATACAACCAGTTTATGTATATCCGGTGGTTTTTTTTTTTTTTGGAGTGTCGGCTAGCGAGCCAACCCTATGAAAATTCCACAAATTATGTCGCCCATATGTCTTGATATCCATACAGCACTCACCTCTCGGGCGAGTGTGGCATATTTAGCCAACCTACCCTTTTTTTATCAGGTGGTTTGAATAAGCTTAACACAGTTGGAGTACATTTTGGCTAGTTTAGTTGTTTTCTACTGCATTTCAAGATTACCAAGCTTCAAGACATATAAAACGACATAATTCCTATGCCACATTTGATAGATGTTCTATCTGTAACTTTGGTATTTTTTAACTTTGTAGGTCTCCTTGGTCAAATAAGTATCATCCACCGTTGGAAGATGCGCCTCAACCTTCTCCAGAGCTGAGGAAACTTGAGGTTGAAGCAAATGAAGTCTTTGCTATCTATCGTGACCAGTGAGGTCCCTTATTTACCTCGTCTTTTCTTCTTCCTATGCAATTGTATCAACTTAATTCTTGTTCACATATTTCGTTCAGCTCTCCTTTAACTTCAGATAAAGCCTGGGACATGTCTTTCAGATTTTTCAAATTCCTGGTTTCATGTTAACCTATGATTGGAATAACGAATAAGAGATCATCTGTACTAGTTTCATCGCTTGGTTATTCAGAGCATTTTCTACAGTTTCACTGACCAAAACGCTGTTAGGTACTATGAAGGTGGCATCTCATCAGTTTATATGTGGGAAGATGAAAATGAAGGTTTTGTTGCTTGTTTCTTAATAAAGAAAGGTAAATTCTGTTTGCATTTCCAATAACAAGTGTTATCTTTTCTGCTTCTAATTTGCAATTTTTCTGGGGGATTTAGATGGCTCCAAGTCTGGACATGGTAGAAGGGGGTATCTCCAGGAAGGAGCCTGGGATGCCATACATGTTATTGAGGTATTAGCACCTTAAGAAAGAAAACTTCTTTGGTCATCTCTTCCTTCTCTCGTTTGTTCATCTAATGAGCATGGCTTAAGATTGTTGTCAAATCGTTCAGGTGGGACCAGAAGAGGAAGGAATTGCCCAATACTGCCTGACTAGTACGGTGATGCTGACCTTGACTACAGACAATGAGTCATCAGGCTCGTTCAATTTGTCTGGATCAATTAGAAGACAGGTATTTAATGGATGGTATTGCAGTTTTTCTTTGGGTAAATAAAAGATTTTTATTACCAATTGCATTCTGTACAAGTAAAAGAAACTGCAGATTGACATCTCCAAAACTGTAGCAAGCAACTACCTCATATAACACCAAGCACTACCAAAACAACTGAGCTACCAGAACTACATTATCCAGCGTAAAAATTTAACTTATCAAGTCTCTTGGTTAGCCTGCTCCTCATGGATCGTCTGTAAAAAAACTTCCTGAATGATTCTCCTGAAAATTGTCGTTGGGTCTGTTTGCTTATCTTGAAATACTCTTAGGTTCCTCTCAATTCAAAGATGATATGAACAAGCAGCCAGTGTCATTCTGTATATTGCTGCAGTTAAGCTTCTTCCTCTAGCATGATTTTAAGCCCATCTTATCTCCTCAGGCCATGACATAGCCGCTCTGCTAATTCCCTGCCAATGCAATAGTTTGTTCCACACTTGTGCAGAAAAATCACACTGAAAGAATGAATAAGCTATGCTTTCCATTTGTGTTGTACACAGTGGGCACTCTTGGTCAGTAATAACACTTCAGTGCATCAAGCTATCCTTTGTAGCTAGTCTTCCATGAGCTGCTAGTCTAAGAATAAAAATTCACATGGCAGATCCAAGGTTATTGCGGACTAACTTTGTCCAATGGACTTTATGGAATTTTCTAGGGGTGCCAATGGATATTTAAAAACCGACTAAACCGACTGAACCGTACCGCACCAAACCGATTTTTAGGTTTCTTTTAATAAAACCGTAAGTTTTTATATAAATCTATAACCGTATCGATAATTTGGGTAGGTTTTTTATTTTATGAAGATAAACCGAAAAAATACCGAACCACCGAATAAATTTACATGAAAAAATATATTTATATATTAAGTTTAAAAATAATAAAGCATTAACATTTTTCTTGGGCCTTGAAATTATAAAAACGATTACAAGCCAACAAGTAATTAAACTCAAAATCCTTATTCCCAAACCTATTATACTACTATTGAAACTAAATTATTTCCAGCATATTCACTAGCAAGACACAAGGTATTCTAGCGATTATGAGTAGCAAACTACAATGTATTAAATATTTTTTCTTTCGTATGACTTAAATTTATATTTTTGAATATTTAATCTTCTTTAGACTTTATTCTTGAGTCCCAACTTACTTAATATCTTTCCACTCGTGTGATTTATATTTTCTTTGTCTTTGATTAGTTTCTTTTACGCTGTTGTAGAATAGTTGATGGATCTATACTCTAGCCATCTTTCATGCTTTCTTAATTCATCACCCTTTAAATAGTAAAAATGTCTAGAGAGTTTTGCTAAGTCCTATAAAAGTACGTACGTTGTTGCATTCTGCTTCTAGTAGTGACTTTTAAGTGACATTTAAAAATATACCGAAAATTAACCGAACCGTATCGATACCGAAGAGAAACCGACATGATTGGTACGGTTTCTAAAAGTCTAATTTTGGTTATATATAATAGAATAACCGAAAAATTGGTATGGTACAAATTTTATAAAATAACCGGTCGAACCGAACCATTGACACCCCTAGAATTTTCCTCTCATACGCACATACATCTTTTTGACTGAAAAATCTGTCATATTTCTGAGGTCTGCTATTGCAGTTATATAATGCTTTGCTTGTTAACGATGTACAGAAATCAAGAGGATAAGGGGTCTGAAAATTCCTTCATCCATCTGTGAAGTTTAATTTTTTATTTTCTGAGTAAAAAAGACAAATGCAACACTAGGACTACCAATGGGGGGCACCCATTCTAATATCACTCTCGCCCAAACACGTTTAACTTCAGAAGTTATCTGAATACCATATCCAATTTGGTCCAAAAATGCAGCAGCATATTTCCCTTCATTCCTCGTGGAGGAAGAAGGATGGGTATGTTTGATTATCTTATCTGAGCGATGCGACAATAGAAAAAAAAAGAAAATGAGAATTCCTTGAATTGGTTATGGACAATATACAAGAGGAATCCTTATATAGGAGTTTAAACTGCTAGAAATAAGGTAAGCAATTGTCATATAATTAAATGTAGAATTCTCTACCATGTAATATTCTATTACTTAAATTTTATGAATCTACAATGTGTTCTGTAAACAAAACGGACCTTGGGCTTAATTCATCCCAAAATTAACCTTATAAGGTGAGGATTGCCCAAGGGGATTCAATAATTTATTTAACATTATAAAGTGAAGATTGCCCAAGGGGATTCAACAATTTGTATATAACACTAGAATATTCCTTTATGTCAAGGGGATTCAACAATTTATATATAACAATAAAAATTTGTTTTTGTCCTATTTACACAATATAATTTTCTGGCGAAGGTGATTCAACCAAACTACCGTGCCACAACCTAGTTCTGCCCCTGAACAGATTCATCCATTAAACTGATCACTGCAAGTCCTTGTTGATTCAAGACTCTTTTCTCGATTGCTAGTGTCTTTCCTAATTGTTCCTCCTTTGCATGAATAGATGAGTATGAAGCTCTCTGTCTCAGATGGTCATCTGTGTAACATGGGAAAGATGATTGAAGAGATGGAGGGTAAGCTGAGAAACTCCTTGGATCAGGTAAATGTCTTTCCTTTTGGAAGTTCTTTTCCTTTTGCTTTTTTCTTTGACTTATTTATGGTTTATTTTGCTTAGAGGTGGTACTAATTAGTTCATCCTAAATCTTGGTAATTATATGAACAAATGTTGAGCGCTTTAGTGTTGCATCAAAGCTCTAAGGCATACTTTTCCTTGCCAATGAGTGTAATCCTGAAAATGCGACATTAAACAATTGATATTTCGCTTTATCGTAATTTTTTTCAATTTCTTTGTCCATATATTTTTTATTCATACTTATAATTATTAGTCTTGGACTACATATACATATTTTTACTTTTTCTTTAGTTGTGCCTTTTTTCATTAAAGCCCACGTTTTAGTTGCGCTTTGCGCTTAAAGCCCCAACGGACCTTAGAGCTTTTTTGCGCTTTTCGCCTTTGATAACACTGTTCCCTTGATGGGAGGAATATTGCTCACTTTAAACTACCTTGTTGTATTTCATACTTTGAAAATGCATAGTCGGAAGCAGAAAGGAGGAACGAAGGGTGTTATTTGGTAGTAAATATAGTTTAGGGGGAAAAGTTGTAGGAGTAAATTGGAATTTACCCAAACTGGAAGAGTCTCAAAGAATAGACCTTCTTTCCATTGTCTTTTCTATATTACAAAATAGACCGTGAAATTGAGTCTAAACCCTGCTTAAACCTGCAGGTATATTTTGGGAAGACAAAGGAAATGGTTTGTACTCTGAGGCCACCTGCTGAACTGGTGACATTGCCGGACAGCTGAAATTTGTTATTTCTTGCCTTTTCTGCTGGGTGTTTCTGTAAACCTTGGTTTGCTTCCATGTCTCAGGGTTGTGGTTCAGTGCTCATTAAATTGATAACTGAGTGTATCATATCATATTTGAGTCAATTCCTAGTTGTAGATGGTCTGAAAATGTCTCCTCACTTTTCTTTAACATGTGGATTATCATACAAATTAATTTTGTCAAGGGCCTAATTTGGATCCATGAGGAGACAAGAGGATTGATTGATCTAAATGAAGTACTTGATTATATATAGAAGAGACATTCTCATGCCCTGATACTGCTTTGTGGAAACCCCGATAGAACAAAGTCTCTTTAGTTTGGCTCTGTCCTAGCTAGACTGTCTCTTCTTTTTAGTCGGCATTTGGTTTAATGCTGTCACAAAAATTCGAGATATTTCTCTAGCATGCATGGAGTCAGCGTCTAATGCTGTCTTTGATTATTGTGCGTTTGAGAATAATAAATAAATAAGTTCTAACATGAAAATGTGTCTTACTGAACTGTTCGGTAAAGTTTAGAAATACTTTTACTTGTATATTAAGTTTTTGGTGTTAAAAAGAACTTTTAGCGAAAGTTTGAAGCTTGGCTGAAATTTAGATACCAAGATATATGACCGTCCAACTTGTTTCAACAAAATTTGCCTTCTTATCAGGTCAAAGCTAAAACATTCCAATTTTCAAACCAATTAACAAAACGGTAATGAATCCCGCAAATTGCGTATTTTGTAAAAACTTCCGATGATACCACTAGACGGTAGGTTTTTGTGGTATTTCCGAGTGTTTCGTAGTGAGAAAACCTAAAGAGAAGAAAACAGCCTCAATATGTCTTCTCAAAACAACTTCGAAAATAAAAAACCTTTTTCTAATACTTCCCTTTCTTTTTCCAAAAATAAAACACAAAGATGACAATAATAACTATGTCTCAATCCCAAATAAGTTGAGTCGGCTATATAAATCATGACTTCCTCGTTTAGGCTCAATTTATATCATCCTTATACTTACTTCCTAATAAAACACTTTTAAAATTAATTTTGGAAAGCCAAATAGATTTTCTTAAACAAGTACCAGGATGCCGCGATTGGTGAAACTTCTTTATTTTCCTTAGGCAACTGTCTTCTCCCACCTCTTGTAACCTTTTCCGAGTTGGAAGATCAATCTGTTTACGAGTGGAATTAGATAAAAGATGCACATTCTCTGAGGATTCCAATTTAATTGGTTTTATTGTTTGTAGGAAAATTAATTCAAAGTTGTAGTAGAAAACCTAAATTGTTTAGAATTTGATATTTGCTAGCTTATTTAAGGGTAAAAAACATAATTAGGCAATATTCAAGAAAAATATTCAGAATCCTAGCAGGAATTAGTAATTAACAAACTAGCACCTAATTAATTACAGTCCTGACCAAAACATATAATGCTGGACCAAAAATCAAGTTTTCACATGTGTGAACAAATTCTAATCAAACAAAGGATCGAAAATCGGTCCTATTAATTACTTAAAATTAGTCCTATTAATACTCATCTCTACCAAAATGTTTGATCAGATTATACAACCCATTTAATTACCTTCATCACACATCTCTCTTCTAACATTAATGTCACAACCAAAAAAGCATATATGTACGAATCCTCCAAAGGAAAGTAGCACTTATTTTAATTTTTTAGTTGTTATTTTCGTACATAGTAATAAAAATATAATTAAATTAATGAAATATTATATGTATTTTGTGGTTATATAAATTTAAAGTTATTTCCATAGTAAATGTGTTTGTTTCAATATCCTAATAGTATATTTATATACTTATATGTTATTGTTTGTACATAATGTACATCAAATATAAATTTAAAATATATCACATATACGGAGTATATATTTCAAATATCAAATATACTTAAACTATATATTGATCTCATCAAGTATATATAAGTATACATTAAATATACATAATACATATATTGAATATGTATATTTGTTTATACGTTATGTATACAAAATTATATGTTGCATTGACATAAAACTAGTTCGGTATAGGCAAATATACATAATATATTCATTACATATGTATATATTTAAAATTACGTTGTAAAAAATATATCACATATGTATATATACACCTTCGAACATTGAATAAAAATGTGAATTTACTTAGATTGTGTTTGATATAATAATGAAAAAGGGGATTCTAAGAGCGAAAACTTTCATAAAAATGGTAAGTATAGATTAATGATGGGAGAGAAATATGGATAAAAATATAGTTCAAAATTAATTCCTTAAATTGTGGACTATGTTTAAAAATTTAAAGAGTACTAAACGTACATGATTTTGAAAAATGCTATAATTGTAAATGAATGTGTTCTTTTTGGAATAAAACAAAAGTAATGATCTTTATTTAAATATTATTTAATAAGTAACTGACAATGTAAAAAACTCTTTATTATTTATTTAATTCATGTTTAAATAGAATTTATAGTCATAATTAATATAAGAATAGACTTTTATTTTTAGTTAAAATAGGTTTGTACTATTATAAATAGGGGTATTGCTAGCTTGTTTTATGTGAAGAAGTGTAGAACTATATGAAAAAGTGTAGAGATTTTTAATAAAAATATTCTCCTTCATATTGATATCAGAGCTTCTACGATCTTGGGAGAGATCAAGTAGCTTCCGCTATCGGCGAACGTCACACATTGGCTGACTAGAGAGCATTCAAAGATTTAATAAAATATTTTTATTTCATATTGGTATCAGAGCTTCTACGATCTTGATAAAGAATCAGAGAGCTTCCATTACCGGAAGGCGGCACTAGCAAATTTAAGCCGCCATCACGGACACTGAGTATGTTGACAAATGTGTGGCCATGAATTATGTTGGCAAAATCATAGATAGTTGTCAATAAATTTAGATTAATCGGTGAAAAGTGTCAGGACAAATTCAAAAAAAAAAAAAAAGCAAGTATAAAGAGGTGCAAGCAAATATGACACAAGATAAAGAAACTCTTCTCTAAAAGTTGGAGAGGTTTAAAAAAATTGGGAATCAACAAAATTAGGTGTTGGTAACAAAGTGCATCAACGGGAGTTGAAGACAGATGATTCAACAAATTTGATGTTGCTGACAAAGTTCAACAAGAGTTGAAGGCAGGTGCTTCAACAAAATTGAGTATTGATGACAAAATGCCTCAACGAGAGTTGAAGACATGTGCTTCAACAAAGTTGGATGTTGGTGACAAAGATATCAGAGAAACACTTTACTACCTTATGATAATGATTAATACAAAGAATTAAAACATAAAATTACAGATAAATAAAAAATATAAAATCATACCACAATACAATACCCGGTAAGAAGTAACATAGTACTAAAGTGAAGCGACCCTATCAACACATACGCGATTTTATCGAATGTATGTCGTGTTTTATTAAATCCGGAGAAATGGTCCAAGTCCACAATAGTATTAGTTCTACCAAAAAATATACTGCGGTGTATCAACACACCCTCGACCTCAACAGCCCCAACTCCAGTCTCACCCTCAATCTCGATCTCAGTTCAACTATCAACACTTGCTTTTGCTAATTCAACATCTTTTAAAATCTCAGCCTCATGCACCAAAGAGTTGTAAGTTTTACAAAGAGCATCATTAATCTTATATAAGACAATAAATTTTGGCCTTGCATCAGATAACGAAACATGTTGATTAGAAAATAAATCATGCACATTCCAAAGATTTTCAATGCAAAATCGCATATTAGAGGTCTCAGATGGAAAAAAGAAAAATAACCAACGGTAAGAAACGCGCTCGAACTGTTATACACCCAAGCAAAAATTTCTTCGCCTTTTTTCCCCCAATGCTATAAACATTTCAAATAGTTCTAACTTCATAGTCTCCAAAGTTAGCAGCCTATTAACTTGTCTTCCATGGACAGATGGTGAAGCATATTTACGGGCTAGGATTAAATTGAGAAAAATAAAAAAGAGTTCTCTTAAAAATGCGAAGGCAAAATTAGGGCTAGGGCTACCACTTTCAAATGCCATGAATAATATTTATCTTTGAAAATTTCAGGAATCAGAGCGCATGAGCCTAGGGTTGACTTGTGTTGACTTTTAGAGTGGGGTTGAGAATTGATTTTAATAGTTAAATTATGTGTTTTGAGCATATATTGATTGGTTTGTACGCCCTTTTGACTAGAGACTAGCAAACAAAGGGTTTGTACGTCCTTTTGACTAGAGATTAGCAAGCAAAGAACTATCAAATTTTTCAACTCCCAGAGAGTATCAAATCGGTTAATGAGCATTTGAAATTGAAAAAATAAGATATCAGAGAAACACTTCACTACCTTACGACAATGATTAATATAAAGAATTAAAACATAAAATTAAAGATAAATAAAAAATATAAAATCATAGCACAATACAATACCCGGTAAGAAGTAACAAAATACTAAAGTGAAGCGATCCCATCAACACATACACGATTTTATCGAATGTATGTCGTGTTTTATTAAATCCGGAGAAATGGTCCAAGTCCACAATAGTATTAGTTCTACCAAAAAATAGACGGCGGTGCATCAACACACCCTCGACCTCAACAGCCCCAACTCCAGTCTCACCCTCAATCTCGATCCCAGTTCAACTATCAACACTTGCTTTTGCTAATTCAACATCTTTCAAAATCTCAACCTCATGCACCAAAGAGTTGTAAGCTTTACAAAGAGCATCATTCATCTTATATAGGACAATGAATTTTGGCCTCTGATATCAGATAACGAAACGTGTTGATAATAAAATAAACCATGCACATCTCAAAGACTTTCAATGCAAAATCGCATATTAGAGATCTCAGTTGGAAAAAAAAAAATCCCCAACTGCAAGAAACGCGCTCGAACTGTTATACACCCAAGCTAAAATTTCTTCGCCTTTTTTTTTTCTAATGCTATAAACATTTCAAATAGTTGTATCTTCCTAGTCTCCAAAGTTAGCAGCCTATTAGCTTGTCTTCCATGGACAGATGGTGAAGCTTATTTTTGGGTTAGGATTAAATTGAGGGAAATAAAAAAGAGTTGTCTTAATTAGAGATTAGCTAGCAAAGAACTATCAAATTTTTCAACTCCCAGAGAGTATCAAATCGGTTAATGAGCATTTGAAATTGAAAAAATAAGATATCAGAGAAACACTTCACTACCTTACGACAATGATTAATATAAAGAATTAAAACATAAAATTAAAGATAAATAAAAAATATAAAATCATAGCAGAATACAATACCCGGTAAGAATTAACAAAATAC